GTGATTTTGTTTGGGCTGTACTTAGCTTGCCACATGAAAATGCAGATTGTGAGAGGATATTTTCTTCTATAAATGGTTTTAAAACACAAATTAGGTCCAAGTTAAGATGATACAGTAAGTGGAAACTTAGAAACAAAACAGTGTAGTTCAAGTGGTCGCGAGAGTAAGCAAAACTGCACCAACTTTGAACAAACTTCTGACATGTTGAGCCTAACGACTTAATCATAGTACATAAAAACATATTAAGCAAAAGAAATAGAAACTAGCGACGATACTACATAAAGAACAATAGAATTAGTTATTTGTTAATAAATCATTATGAACTAAATTTAATTGTTGTAATACTACATTTATCCCTCATTATCGTTTATTAAAAAGAGTTCTTCAACCGTGGTGTCCACGGTGTATGAATTGAAACTATCAATGTCAAAAAAAGATAGTTCAAAATGATTCAATTAATTGAAAATGTCCATAAACAGCTCAAAATGTGTCAAAATATTTTATCAAGAATATGAATTAATGAAATAAACATATGTTGTAAATTTTAAGTGTTTACAGTAATTTGTTTTTGAATTACAAAAAAATAAGAAAATCGATAGAAGGGAAATCGAATTAATAACCAAAAATTTCAATTTCAAAAGCTCTTAAAAATTTAATTTGACTTTCCAGTGGAATTTTTTTTTTTTTTGATTTAGGTAGACAAACTTATAAGAAATCTTCTATTAAATTTTTAAATCTTAGACATAAAAATCAAAATTCTTAATCTTCATAATAACACTAAAAAACAAAATCAATTTTTTCGAAAACTGGTTTTCTGAAAAAACTACAGTTTTTGATTATTTTTCCCGTTGCTTTTGAAAACTATTGGGAATTTTAAATGTTGACCTCCCAAATGCACCAACTAAATTAACTTTCCTACCAGAAAATATGCTGTCGAAGAAAATCGAACCACTTCTACTGCTCCAAACCGTGATGACGGCACAAAAAAAATATATAAAAAACATCTTCATGGTAAAATCAATACATTCATCACCCCACTCAGAATCTAAAATTTAGCTAGTTTTAATAGTAATTTTTATTTTGATTATAAATATATTCTAACAATAATATATATTTAATTAATTAATTAAATAAATAAATATATTTTTGAATAGTAGGTAAACATATCTACAGAAACAGCGGTAGCGTGAACAGAGTATTTTAGGGACGTAACCACTAAAATAATGAACCTTGACTATCAAATCTTAGGCAATGAGCATGATATCGTTGAAGTAGATGAAACGCATTTGTTTCGTGCAAATTTTAACGTTGGGCGTGTCATCGCATGGAATGCTGGGTAGTTATCTAGTAATTGGAAATGACGATCATAAATACAGTATTCTGTAATATAATGTTAATGATTAAGGTGGTATAAGTCGTACTACAAAGCAAGTATTTGGTACTATAGTCCCGGATAGGTCAACTGACACGCTCCTTCCATTAATGCAAAAATATATTTACAACGTTGCATTTATATGAAGTGACATGTGGATGGCATTTGGTCAATGTGAAAACGTATTTGGATAAACATAATTAAGTAATAAGCAAGTATAATAATAATGCTAATGAAATAAAAAAAAAAAACAATTAATTAAAATTATAACCACATCAAAGATTAAAAAAATATGATACAAGGTACCATACATTTTTTTAAAAATAATTTTAGTGGTCATGGAGTGGTAAATCACTCCATTAACTTTGTGGAGCCTCCTAAAAATAAGCCACCAAATTGGGTAGTGACTTGCAGATTTACCCAAGCGTGATTAGATAAGCAGTGGGAAGGAGCTTGGCCACCTAACCATGAACCGATCCGCTACCACACACAACACAGATAGATCTTGGAGAGAGTTGGAACGTATTTTGACAAGGTGTAATAACAAACGGGTAGCGGATTTGTACATTGGTGAATGGATGTATCGGACCAATATATTAAATCACCTTCCTACAACCAGCGACCGTTTCAAAAGGCTTAGGTACGACGTCACAAAGGCATATTCAGGTATTGGAAATGAACCAATGAAACGGGACGTTGACGATTGTAAAAATGAGATAATTACATGTAGATACGGTCATTTGTTTTAGTTACACTGAAAAACAAAATCGATTTTATAAAAACTAGGTTTTTCGTAAAACTTCCAGTTTTTCCTTAATATTTTGTTTGATTTTCCTGCCGCCTTGGATATTCATTGGGAATTCTTTACTTTTGAACGCCAAAGATACCAACTAGGTCTAATTTCCTAGTAGAGTTGTTGTTGTTGAAGAAAATCTAAGCATTTTTACATTGCTCCTCTAAGAATCTTCAATTATTTTTAACTATGAAAAGAAAATCCTATCGATGATTCCTTTGACGGTTTTATAGCTGTTTAAGCTTAAAATTAATGAACTGTTGACGAATTATTGAACAGTCTATTTTTAAATAGCCATATTTGAATATTTCTTTATAAAACACGGTTATCGCTTCAGACGATTACAGCGCGAACGCCTCCGACCTGAGCGACACATTAGTATGGCCAGTGAAACTTGGCAGGTGATTTTAGCGCCCCCAGTGGCGTTTTTTCAGTAGGGCCAACTAAACTATTATAAAAAACGCCACTGTGGGCGCTAAAATCGCCCGCCTTATTACTTCCATAGACCTATAAACTATGGACAGCGCTTAGAGAGAGAAGTCAGGAGACGATATAGTCGAGTGAGAAAAGAGACTAAGTAATTTTTTGCAGTGTGCCTACTGCCAAATAAAAAATTGTGATACAATAAAATCTTGCCGATCGTTATATTTCATTGATAACGTGATAAAATTGTAATTACTGATGTGTTTTAAACAAATAATGTTAAATGTACCAGATATCAAACTTATTTAAATTGTTATTTTATTACAAAAATCTATCCTTAATAAATATTTTATACTGTAAATATTGTTATTGTTTTTTATAGATTCCATATTACCATAATATGTAATGCTAATCGTGATTCATTCTACAGTCTATAGTCTATACTAGAGAACCCATAGAGTAATATAGAGGCGGTGTTCTGTTGTAATGTTGAAGCACAAATTGCCCCCAAACAGTGCGACCACTTTTAAGGTCGTAACTTATTGTATCGTAGCAAATGCACTTCAAGATGGTTAGATACATAATATTATTATAAATTATAATTATTAATTACCATATTATAGGAAAAAATAATATTCCTATTGTATTATATGGGTTTATTCATGGCTAAATAACTAGGTATGATCGCAACTTTGTGATACGCAGGTGTCATGACCATGCCAAAACCATGTTCAAAACAATATTCAAAGCAATACAAATACAAAATTGAAATTATAATTATTTTATTTAAAAATGTATTATTTAATAAAATAAACATCAAATGTACAATCTTTAAAATTAATTGATCATTTGATTTAATTTATACTTCAAATCTGATAAAGGTAAATATTATAAAATATCGTATTATATTATAAACACGAACCTAACACTTTTTTTTATCAAATAAATTTTTTAACTTGCTTCCTTTTGACATCAAATATTTTATTTGCTATTGATTTGTTTAGGTTGTTTAATCTTATAAAAGTTCTTGTCTGTACCAAACAATTAATCACCTCCACCGGAATCTGGCTTTTAATTTCTTTGATGACTAAATCTGTGACTTTTTTTATTATGCCTGAAATGTAAGTATTTATAACTGTATATTTTATAAACTTATTGATATTATTTATTCTATTTTCAAAATATCAAAAAATATAATTGGTCCAATGAAGTATCAACAAAAACATATATTTTATGTTATGTTCATATTCTGTGACCACATAATAATAACAAATGGTGATTTATTCAAACCATTATTTCCATGATATAGATTGAAAGTTGTTTCAATAACATTTGCTACGTAAATAACATCACTGGACGGTCTTATTAAATTAACTTATGTAATTTTTTCAGTCAAACTTGAATTGTTGTCGTCACAATGATAAACCTTTTCTCCCAAGTATGGATACTTGTTTATACATTTTTTAACTACCGATCCTGTAATATATTCAATACATTCTTTTTCAATTTCAGATATTTCATGAATTTCTATCAACGACTGAAATTTATAATAGATATTATATTAGGCCATTACTCATTAAGATATTCTATAATGCTGGTTAGTTAAATATTACATGTATATCATAATTATTATCTAATAATTCTAAATTTGATTCTTCTGTATCTTTAGTATTTCCTCCAAGATCAGATATAACAGAAGTTAATATAGCATCGTTAACAATTATTCCAGATAAGAAATTTACCAAACAGCTTTCATCTGTATCTTGGGTATTATGGTTATTAGTGAATACCATGTTTGAATGCTTACCCAGTAAGTACCATCGTAAGCTGTTATTAAATACAAATTAAATAACATTTTGACTAATTTACGAAGAAAACTGGCAACCTTATCTTGAGCAGTTAAAATATTCGTCATATTTCCTTGCAAACTGAGATTAAGTGTATTTATTTCTCCGAAGAAATCCGCAAGATATGCCAGTTTAGAAATAAATACATTATCTGTTATTTGAGCGTGAAACTCTTTCTCCTTTACCTTCCCTGATTTTTTCCTTTCTAGAAACAAAGCAATTTCTTCTCGGAGCTCAAGCACTCGGTGCAACACCTTGCCTCTCGACAACCAACGTACCTCTGTGTGGAACAACAAGACGTCGAATTTTCCTACCATTTCATTACATAAGTCCTTAAAAATTCTTGTATTTGTCGTACTACTTCGGATGTAGTTAAAAATTTTCACTACATGAGTAAATGTGTCCATTAAATCAGATGGAAGAGTTTTCATTGCCAAAGCATAACGGTGGATAATGCAGTGGTTAAATAATGCAAATGGAGCAACTTCTTTCATTAATGTTTGGAAACCAGAATGAATGCCCAACATGGCTGGTGCTCCATCTGTACAGACACCTATTAACTTCGACCACTGCAGCTCATTTTCATCAACAAAATTTTTCACTGTCCGAAAAACATCTTCAACGCGTGTGGTAGTACTCAGTGATTCTGAGAATAAGTATTCTTCTTTTAAGTCGTCACCTTTTATGTATCGAGCATAGGCAAGTAGCTGGGAACAAGATGCAACGTCGGTCGACTCAACTGTAAGGCGAAGAAAAGACTTGACTTTATTTCATTGAGCACTGTGTCCAAAATATTCTTGCTCATATCCTCGATACGATTTTTGATAGTGTTGTTAGAAAGTGATATCTTATTTATCTTTTCAACATGTTGCTCTCCAAGAACAAGTTTTACTGCATCTAGTATACACGGTTTGACGAGATTTTCTCCAATTGTATGAGGTTTCTTGTTTTTCGCGATTCGAAGAGCGATGCAATACGAAGCTTCAAGACCAGCTTCAGTTGACTTAAAAAAGTAACCGGATGAATCCATACGTGCATTTTTTAACGCATCTTCTTTACGTTTGAAAAATGCAATATCTTTTTCTGCAAACTGAGAATGACTTCTCTCAAAATGTTCTTTTAATTTACTTGGTTTCATACTCTCTGTTGTGAGAACTTTGTTGCACAGAACACATTGAGGCTTCTCGACACTATTATCAACAAACTTAGTAAATCCCCATTGTAGAAAAGCTTCTTTGTATGGCCGTTTTTTCCCCTGTGACATGGTTCCTGATTCAAAGGAAAATTATTAAAATCCAACTTTTACTTTACGTCAAAATAATCAGAAAATCGACAATACTGATCGATATTCAGTAGACGGCACAGACAAGTACACTAATGAACAAACAGTGAACGACTGACTGATGGTTAAAAGATTAAAACCATTAAATTAAATATCGATATCATTTTATATTTTTATAATAATAGATAAATAGAATATAAAATGTGTTGACAATTGTACAACAAAAATAATTCAAGGAAATTCAATATAATGTAATATTCTAAGTATTATTTGAAGGTAATAAAATTATCAGTGTCATTAGGACATAAGATAAGGTATTTCCCAAAACTATTAACAACAGTATTATATTATACAATTTCATTTACAGTCATAATACACATGAGTAAAATAAGCACTTAAAATACAAATAAATAGTTTTACTTTTACCCCTAAAAAATCGTGTTTTTACCCCTTAGGGTATAGACCTATGGATAAAGGAAATGGAAATAAAAAAAGTTTAGTATTTTCTCCATGATTCACTACTTTGTGTTCTTTCTCTCTCATTTATAGGATCACCTATCATTGTTGGCAGAGCGGGGTGGAATGCGCGGTCCATAGTTTATAGGTCTATGATTACTACTGTAGACTACGTGTTATTGAACAGAGCGCCCCATAGTGGTGAATGCACGCATTACTAAGGGCCTGAGGGGATTAGAATAAACATGAATACTATGCAATGTGTAACATAACGGCATGGCTAAATTAAATTAGTTAATATTTACCCATGGTACTAAGACCAGTATACCAGGTACTAAAAAATGAATTTTTATCAGACTGATAGATTGTATTATTAAAATTGATATTACAGTCAACCAATTAAAAACCATAGAAGCCTAATTAGTAATTTCAAAATAGGTAATGTCAACTTTTAATTTTCCAAATAGCTTTTGATTTGAATTCGTTAAAAATTGTATTACAATGTCTAACATAAAGAACATAATAATTAAGTGCGGTTTTCAAAGTATTTATAGTAAGTAATATTGTATTTACAAATAGTAAAGGTATAAATTTAGCCGATAGTGGTCATGTAACTTTTGTTATTGAAGTGAGACCACCAAAAAAATTTTCTGTGATCTCAGCACAATTATTATAAGACAAACGTCCGGTCACATTACACCCACAGCAAGTTACTAGAAGTAGGTTATTAATTTATACAAAATTTAATTTATTTCAATAATTATTACTAACACGTGTGCCATATACCTTATTCGTACAGTTAGATGATACCAGGACCATAAAGAGATGTTTTTGTAATTGTCAGCTGTAGCTTCTGAAAAGTGCAAGCATATTGTTGCATTAATACATTATACAATGAAGATAGCTTTTCAAAAACTGATTTTCCTCAGATTTGGGGGGGGGGGGGAAACCGTCAAAAGTGGGGGAAGAAAAATTAAAAAAAGGCAGAACAATTGAACAGCTCTTTCCACCCATAAAAAAACTTAAAAATAAAATACTAACTAGTGGCCATTATGACTTGGTTAATACCTGTGATATATTGTCAATTAATTGTGGTGTAAATAAAATGATACAAGAGTAACTAATGTCAGAAGACGATAGAGAATGTAAAATGTGTTTAAATGAAATAATATATAGTATTGAAATGGAAGAAATATTTATGAAAAATGATCGTTTAATGAATTCAGTTATCGAGAATCAATCAAGTTCTGATCACAGCTATGTTACTCAACTCATTAAATTTCCTTTGAATAAAAATGAGGATAAGTTTTATTTTAATATGATTCTAGTAAAAAAAGAAGAAGTTGCATCTATTTTCAATAGCACATTGGAACAATCTAATAGTTACAAATGGACAGAACACAGAAAAGTAAGGATTTCTGCAACTAAATGCCACAAAATAAAAATTTGTAAAAATATGTCAGCTGAAAATCAACAAAATTTGTTGAAATTATTTCTAATGATGTGAAATTAATTCATAAAGCAGCGTTAAATACAGCATATGGTACACAAACTGAAATGTTAGATATTGAAACATATTGTGAAATGTTCAACAAAAAAACAATAAAAGCTGGACTTATAATTCATTCCAAATACCCTTGGTTATGTGCATCACCAGATTCATTGGTTTTATCTCAAAATGGGGAAATAAACAAAATCTTGGAAATTGAATGCCCTATAAGTTGCAAAAACAAACCTATAGTGACATGCAAACATATTAATTATAGAATAACTATTCCAGGAACTATAGTATGATAACTAGGGTGCGGATTTGTATGTATTTACATATTTGTCTCATATGATAATATTCGAATGATTCCTTTATAATAGAAATACGTTACAGGATTTTCTGATTATTTTAAGCTATGTTTGATATTATATATTTTCACATATTTAATCTTAATTACATATTTTTACATATTTTTGTTAAATATTGAGCTATTTATAAAATTAATTATGTGTTATCTTCTCCAGGTTAAATTAGATCAGAATTTTCCGAAGTTAATTTTTTGATATCAACTAAAAAAAAAATTTCCTTAAAGCACCCTGTCATGTAAATTTATTTAATGAAAATTACCCCCTACAAACACCTCTTCACCGGAGCCAGTGATAACTTGATAACTCGCTGGGGTACTTGGTTACATGCTCCTGCATATTGTTGCGACAATTAAAGTTTCATTGAAAATATGATTTCCAAAATTGAAATAGATTTTGTTTCACCATCCTAACTAAAATGAATAAATACTTAATTATTTGAATGTATTCCTAATAATTAATGTTAATATAGTAGCAATAAAATGTAGTGTTGTATAATTTATATTTACCTACTTATTTAATATACTAATTTTATAAATTTTTTCAAGAATAAAAACATTTTTTTTTTTACATATCTTGTATTTTTAATTACATATTTGGATAAAATTAAATACATATATGTGTACATAATTTTGAATTTTGAATACATACAAATCCGCACCCTAATGATAACTAATGATTAGAGCGCGGATTTCTATGCAATTGCATATTTGTTTCCTTTTAATATTTTTGGATTTTTGTCAGTTATCACGAATCATCATAATTTGAAGCGAATGGTGAAATTTTTTTTGCATATTTCTGCATATTTCAATGTTGTTCCATATTTTTGCATATTTAGGCAAAATTCAAAATGTATTGCATATTGAAGCGAAAATTAAAAAAAATGTATAAAATAATATTTTGTCAATTAGAAAAATTAAAAATAAATTTTATGGGCACGACGTAAACTTAATCTCTCTTGCTGTGACAGTCGGTTATCGACATACCATTCTGTTGGGAGTTTCCCGAGTGCGTCCCAAAATGACCCTTTTTTAATGTTCTTCATGCGTTCAGAATAAGGTATCATCCGAGTGCGTCCCAAGAAAAAAGGTCATATTTTTTACATAGCCCGAATGCGTCCCAGTTCATTTAGAATTACCCAGGGTGCACCACGAGGCGTGAACTGGCTTACACCCCAAAAATTTTTTTTTTATTATTATTATTATTGTTTGTATTTATTATTATTTATTTTAGCTTACACCGTTAAGTTTGGGTGAGCGTACAATTTATTAAAAACATGTTTGTTATTATTAATATATCTATATAGGTTGGTGTTTAAATGCCATTCTTTTGACAAAATCTAATCTTGATATTTTATTACTTTTAAATTGATTTATATATTGTCTTCGATGTATTTAATTTTCTTGCACGTAGTTCCTTTTGGTTTTCTTGTTGTTTGTGTGGCCGTTCGGATTGCTATTTTAGTGTCAATTTGAATTTTTTTTAATATTTCCAAAAATGTATATATATCTGGGTGATGTGTATAAAATAATGAGTTGTACTTGGAATGAAAGCTTTCACAAGCATTTGTTGTCCTTTCAGAACTACTATTCATTTCATCCCACATAGAAATAGGAAATTTTGCTCCAGAATCGATATAATTTTCTATTAAATAATCCATAAATTCGTCGAGTTTTTCATGTTTTGGCATTATAGATATAAAATCTTCAACAATACAATTTTCTACGTCTTCTTCGTTTAATAATGGTAAACCAAATATATTTTTCAAAAATAAACCTATTTCTGTTTGGTTGCGATAGTCTTTACTCAACCCCAAAATTTAGTACAATACTTAAAAGTACCATCTACATATATAGTCTTAACAGTACTTAAAGTATTTAAATTTTTTTCACATGAAAACATCACTATATTTAGATTACTGTCATTTACCAAGAG